ATACTGGAAAGCAGGTGCACAAGTGACCCCCAATAGAGTGTAGTACTTGTCGGCATCTCTGGGTGTGACTTCAATATGTGAACCATCTGCAGATATGGTAATATCTTTGGTTGGAAATGAACCAAACCACATGAGAGGTGGCACTGTGTGCTGTGGTTTCTCATCCTCAAGAAGGTTAGGCCCAACACGAGTAAACTTGACCTGTCCATTAGTTTCATCCAATTCCATCACCTGAAAACAGCGAATTCTCAATTAGATCACAAAAGATGCAAAGAAACAGTTCAGGAAAATGCGCTCTTGTAAAAATTTATCTGAGCAAGTGAAACTGAGATTAACATGGAGATGGATACAAACATATCACCAGAAGCAAGTTATAGCCCCTTTTAATATAACTAATCGAGGCTTGCAAAATACTGACTGAAATTTAAATTATTCATGTATTTTATCCCAGCTGCTGCCTAAAAACGGTGGTTAAGGAAAGGGGAACAAACCAACTAAGGATATCACTGAGATGCCTAACAAAAATAAACCAGGTACCTTTTATAGGTAGTTATATGGGCGTTTCATAAGTCCAGGAAATATTGAATCAACTGACATAAAAGTAGAAATTTATTCTATTACCCTTTATTTAGCAACAAAGCTTTCCATGCAGATTGGCTGCGCATTAAAAAATCTAACAAAAAGGTTGTTGGTAGCCTGAGGACAAAGTACAGACTACAGAAGTACAGATAGATAGTCTGGTGTTTCTATTAATAGTAAGAAAACTAAAAAAACATCAGCTTAACTTATAATCTTTATTTCAAGTAATTTCTGGTAGAGTTTTAAATGGCTAGAAATATAATCCAAGTTGTTGTCATACTTCAACGTAATAACGTGTCAAAAACTCAATATACTGAAAAGCCACATTCGAAAGTACAATACCTAATAATTTGGTAAGACTAACCAACCATCTTCTATATTCATGCAAATGTCAGGCTATGTAACTGTAATTAGCTAATGCCTCTCTAATCTACAATATAAAACAATGAAGAAACTAGGAAGCAGACATAACCAGAACGTGAGAAGCTATACAGATTATACTAGGGAAAGGTCATGAAAAGATGCATCCAAAGCAGGTTATTCACAAGTCAGCAACAAAGATATAAACTGCTTCTCAAGGGACAATCAGTGTCACAAAACAGCGAATTCTGACAATTGTGCAGTACAAATGTACAGAAAATCTTAACAATGGCTATAAACATGTTCAGTAGAGCGCCTGGAAATTCACAGAAATAAGACAAAACTACTTAATCACATAAATCTATCTAAGACAATTTCACAGGTGAGAAAGAGTCGCAAACTCACACCCATCCTCACCATAAGTTTTGACGAAGGTGGTAGGCTAGCAAACTTTATAGGTTACTCCTGCATGCAATCACAAGCAAATTGGTTTTCTTGTTACATGTTTTAGCAACAAATAAAACTTCATCAAATTGATACTTCTTTGATTCTCACAATCCTTGCCTTTTGTAAAGTACCCCTTGGTGAGGGTTTTTTTTTTTTTTTTTTTTTTTTTTTTTTCAGTAGTCCTCATTGTGAACATTACAGTTTACAGTTTTCTGAACTCTGTCACTAATTATTGGATACAGTAGTGGCTTGCTCATTCTACAAATGCTCATCTTTTAAGAGCCTCTTTCCTCAAATGTTTTTGTCTTTGAAAAATTGAACTATCCCAACTTATGATATATCTATAGGAAATTAGATAAAGTCTTCCACCCATGAGGAGGCAAAATATTATTGTTTGACTTCGAAACAAGGAGATGTAGCACATTAGTGATTGTATGTCGGATTGTCGGTAGAAATTAATGTAAATGTCTCACCTAAATTCCCTCCTTAATTTAAGCCTACCCAAAAAAAAAAAAAAAAAAAAAAAGATTCAGTGTGCTACAAGATTAGGTACTGCATCTGCCAATACTAATTACTTGTATATAGTTCTGATACCAATGTGCAAAAATTGGGTGCATAACTCGATCTTGGAAGCATACAAATAAATTATCCAGGTTCTTGAAGGAATTGGAATAAAAAAACTTCCTACTTCTCGTTAATCTGGTTCGCTTACCAAGGTTTTGATTTCTAAAACTACCCTCTAGTGTTCCACAACTCAAGAACCACTTCTCACTCTTTCTATGTGGATTTGTAATTGCTAGGGAAGGTCTCTACATTCCATTTATATTGTTTAGCCCACTGACCCCTTATCATAGGAATGGGGTGGAAAGGATTGGTTTTCATACCCTAAGTTTATCTTTATCCCTTCATCAATGTGCTCTTGACTACCACTACAGCATGTTTCCATTCTCATAACTTGGTAGGCCTGTTAAGATTGTTATGGTTCCAAACAATATTATGACCCTGAGAGACACCCCTGACATACATTTCCCAAATCTGGTCTACAAACATGGATAACAGCTTTCAGTTTTAGAGAATTTTCGACTATTTCAAACCCAAAAAAGATAAAGGATGAGGGGCTTCTAATGGACCTCAAGAGACCCAAAGAGGTCATTTAGGTGGTTGGAACCATCTATTTTGCCTCTTAAATATCATTTCATCTAATTATACACACGCTTTAATCATTAACTTAAGGCAACCACAGGCATTTATGTGATCGACTAGTGGGCATATATGGTTTCAAAAAAACCTAATGCATCCCATCATCACTAGAGTTTTCAACACCATGCCTCATAATCTTAAAAAAAAAAGGTTCAGCTTTGTGTATTAACCTTTAAATATAGCTTCTAATAATCTTAAAAAAAAAAAAAAAAAAAAAAGATTCAGCTTTGTGTATATTTAAAGGTATATTTAAAAACCTTTAAATATAACTTTAAATATAACTATGTATTAACACAAGGTTAGACATCAAGGTTTTTCCTGAAGTTCCCAAAGGACCCCAAGAGGCCTATTTGGTGCTGGGAACCATCTAATTCATGCCTTGGCCATAACTTTGCACCGCTCATAATCACGTCATGCTATGCTTTGCCTTGCCTCTTCAAAATGCCCCTAAGGCGAGGCAAGATGCTACCCTCTATTTCCATAATAAGCATTTAAAAAAGAGGTGTCCTCGTGCTCATGCCTCGTACCCATATCTCATTCCTAGGTCTTGTGGTGGCATGCCTTGGCTGGAAGCGCCCATGACTTAGAACAACTGGGCATGAGCAACAAAATAAAACCAACACAAATACAAATCTCAAATTGACTTTCAAAAACTTCTACCACTCACTCATGATAACATTTCAAACTGAGAACCCCACTCAATCACTCCCAAAAAAGATGATCATAAAGATTAACTATTCTTGCGACCGGCAATAATACCTGCATGTTTTGTGAGCTCCAAACTAAAAACCCAAACAAGAGCTAAGATGAAGACATCACCATTTAACAAAAAATACTTGTATTACCCCAAATTAATTTTACCTTGAACATGAATATATCGTCATCATCACATGTGTCCAGGATCATGTGTCTATATAAAAAGGTAGTTCAACCTATAGACAGGTACAACTAACATATAGTCTTCCTATCACCAAGATGTCATTCAGTTAAAAGCCAAGTACTTGTACTCCAATTAGACTGAATCATCCAGGGTCATAGCTAGCAACTAACATCAACTCTGTGTCTCCGTTCCTCATTACATTGTCAAAAGTCCATAAGGTTTGATTAACATTCTCAATCTATAGGACTCATATGATGACAAAGTAGGGATCCATTTACTCATGTCCTCATTGGTCGTAGTACACGTGCTATGGTAGAGAAGAAACTCTTTCAGCAAAGAGCCTACATCAATCTCAAAAATACACCACACAAGTTACATTCAGTCACACCCACGTGCCTAACCTAAGTATTTATATGCTTACTCATTAGAGTCCCATGATCTACAAAAGAAAGAAGCATGTAGCATTAGAAAGATTCCAGCATTCAGATCAAACCTTACCGTAATTGGCTCACCCATGTAATGGTGAAAGGTTTCAGCACAAGGAATACGATGAATTTTCGCCACGCTCCCAGAAGGCAGCATGAAGTAAATGGCAGTGCTAACGGCTCGATCCACCTTGTCTGAACATCAACAAAACTCCTAGAAAATCATAAACCAAGATTTTGGCACTATAATTTCACTTATCACTAAACACAACAATCACAATTCACACATCACACTACAAGAACTAGCTGCCAAATTTCATAATTTTACCTATATATCATTAGTGTTAATGCAATTGAAATTAATTGACAATTAAAACATTCCAAACACTACTCCTTCCACCCCACTTTAATAGACCACAAGACTATTGAACCAACTAACACAATTCCACAGCTACTTAAGTATTGGGGTTTGGGAGATGAAATGAAAACCTTAAAATTGGATAATTTAGCAAATTAAATGCATATCAAACATCAACAACTGTTTAACCAAAAAGGGGTGAAATTATAATATAAAGTGTTAAGGAAAAAGATAGAAATTATGAGGGTTAGAACTTACATTGAGGAGGAAGGAGAGATTTAGAGAGAGAAACAGAGTTATCTCTGAATGTCTCAAAGTAAAACCCACCATCTGAGTGAGGTGTTAAATTCAATTTCTCCACAATTTCTGATGCCCTCAACATCTTCTTCAAACAAACGATTTGCAAGAAAGGGTTTATGTGAAGAAGATTGTAGAGACTAGAGAGTGATAATTTGATGATACAACTAGTAGATAAGATATCCTTATATTATGATGATGAAGTTACTTCGTTTGAAAATTAAAGCCGTCCGTCGTCTTTTAAGTGTTTTTTTCAACTTATTTTGACAGGTTGAAACTATCGGTAATTATTATGTTTTAGAATAAAAGGTGTGATTGAATTTATTGAAATTTAATTATAGAGCGGATTTTATTTTGAAAAAACACACGGTTAATAGTTACTCCTTAGTAATGAAGTTCCGAGTATCTTGCCATTAGGAAAATTTCAGATTTAGTACTTGAGGTCTAAAATGTACTATAGTTGTTTTATTTTGGGTACCTCACTCTAAACAATCCGATATTACCCAATACAATGTACTCTGTATAAAAAAAATAGTCAGGAAGTATTTATAAACTGTAGATAAAATTGCTCTTTAAACAAAATATTAATGCCGTAAAAATCACTCATAAAGTCATAAATCATAATGCATAAAATGGGAAAAAAAAAATATTTGGTTTTTTATTAGGATTAACAATTCTCACCGGACATGACTCAATCATGAACAAGAAGTTATTTCCAAGAAAAAATCAAAGAATAAGGTATAGTATTACTGTATTACATTTACATGGTACTAAACAACTAAGCATAGCACAAGTTTGATTCAATTGAAAACACTGTACAAATAATTGTGTGTCTAACTACTTACAACTTTCAACCCACTATGTACGGTCAAACTCGGAAGTTTTCTATGGTCATTAAGAAATTCCTATAGCCTGTGCATTCGATCATGGAATGGTGAAACGGGTAGCTACCTTACAGCACTCATCTTTTGTAAAGCGCAGCAACCCAAGGCGCAAGTTCCATGTTATCTGGTGTTCTTGGATTGACAGAATAGTAATCTGACCAGTAAAAATGCTGTCTCTCAGTGAATCTTCCATCAGAATACAAATTCAATGGTAACCAACCAAGACCCCCATTCATATTTCTTTTCTGCTCTCTAGGATAAGCCAATGGTGCCTGCACATACCTGCATAACAGGAAAATTCAAGGACAAACTGAGTACGGGAGAGACACTAACAAGCTGACAGCGGAAAGATAGCTAAACTTTTGAATCATGATGATGCAAGTCAGGCAACATGGGAATTACTCGAAAGCCAAGGACCAAAGTTAAGATGAGGGACATACCTGATCCCATCAAGAGTAGCATCCCAGCCAAAATGGGTGTGGCCAAACACATGACATGCAGCTTTGCTCCCCTCAGCACCGTGTATAGATCTGATTCGAGCCTCAAGAAAGTTGGAACCGATGATTTTAGGAAGGTTTGGATAGTAAAGCATTCTTTTCTCTGGACATAGGTCTAGCCTGTGAGAATTTAGAGCATAAGACAAATTGCCAGCATAAAATGGCACTCCATATCATAAACATTCTTATCCTTCCAAGAGAAAAATCAAGTAAAATCCTTGGAGGATGTAGATAGAAATATGTAACAGATATGCCTGGAATCGTACAAATACTTAATAGTGATAGAAAGAATGCCGGATATAAATGAGTAACTCTTATCTTAAAACTAACCTAGGAACATAGTGGGAAAATGTAATTACTTTTTCACATTTTCTCTGGATCTCTTTTATTGCATGGGCATGTTTCTCATTCATTGCATCAAAATGGCAAGCAAGAGAATCATCCCTATCACAGAGCTCAGCAGGCCATCTGCACGCATGAAAATCTTTACATACCTAAAAAAGATGTCCGCAGAACTAGCATGATTAGACTTTTCACACAAGCCTAAATCAGGAAATTTAATTTGTGAAAGAAATTTACATCATCAACCATGAGGAGAAGGAGAAAGAAAAATACCGATGCCTATAAAACTATTTATCAATGCACAAACACAACCAAAGGGAAATATTTGTTGAAACCACAAATATAAAGGTTAATCTCTTTCTAATAGATCCAGCTAAATGAGGTTCTTCCAATATGGAGTAAATAAAAGTGATTTTCCAATAAAATAGGAGCAAATGATCACTGAGGATAACTACTTGCTTGTTGGTCTCACTAGGATGGTTTATCATCATACAGGAATGCACAAGATTATCTATCCTAGCTAGCCTAATAAATAGAGCACTAAATTGGTATCAGAATCCAACAGTAACATACATTGTACATTACCAAAGCTATTAATAATCAGAGCAAAAATATTCAGCAATGTTCACAAGGTTAAGAATGATTTACCATCTTCAAGGAACTCTCACCCCAGTTATATCCTGCTCTGTATCGAAACTCTAAAATGCATAAAGCTCTAATCAGAAAGCAGTAAAAAATTATTAAGTAATTCAATTCAACCATAACAACATGGAAAAAATTGATCCAAGAAACACAAACCAGAAAGTGAACCAAAAGAGATAGCTTCAACTAACCTCATGATGCCATGAGAAGAGGGGTATGATTCCCAAGTCACCTACGATCAAAGGCCTTGATTCCACTCCAAGTTCACCACATGCGCGAAGCAGCGCATTGAGCTTGTCAAGTGAATCAACCTGGACGAATATTACTAGCATAAGCAATTATAGTTTCTAAAATACTTAATATTGCCCAAAGCAATAAGCTAGACATGCAGGGTCATAAGAAGTCCGGAACTATATAAACCCAAGATACCCTAAAGCAGCTAATAAAACAATTTTTACTATGCTTTATCAGGTACAATGCAAATAATATTGAAGAAGTACAGAAATTTCAAGCCATGCAAGTAGGGTCTTTATGGCTCATAAGGTACAAGGGTTAAACATAGCAGTGGGTGCTTCTGAAAAAAAAAAAAAAAAAAAAAAGTTATCGTGACACAACTGAAGAATAGTGAATTTTTATGTTTGTGGAAGATCAAATTCAAAGAAAATCATAAGATTTTTAATGAGTTAATCAGGGTTGTTTGGGCAAAACAACTGTAGGACAGCATTGGCTGTGCTCCCAATCTGAAGTATCATTAGTTTGATGGGTAAAGAGTGCAATAACTTCTTTCTCATGCCAGAAAGTTTACACTCAGATACTTTAATACAGCATAATCTAATTATCTAAGAGACACAAGGTGCACCGCACTTCAATCTCCTATACTTACTAATTCTCCTCTTTCTTAATTCAGCATCATTGGCACCAACACCAAAGGTCAGCTATATAAATCTCCTGGTCATTCCACCCATACAATTCCCTTTTCAAATTTATAATAACCTAGATTATAGGTTCATTGTGCCTTAGAAAAAAAAATTCATAAATAATTGGTTGTTCAACACAACATTACAAGCATTCAAACAGATCACAGACGCTTTGTGAAATTCCCCGCAGTTCATCGAGAACCTGCTCATAATAACCTTTACATATCATTCCAACTCACATATGTTTATCAGCATGTTTCAAGTGAAATCACCGCCTTCACCGCTTCACATGGTGCATGTATTGTTCAACACATAATAAATTTTACAAAATAAACAAAGGCTAATAACTAAACCAAGCCTATCATTTTCAAAAAATGCATGCATTCCTTCTTGATTTTAATATTCTCCCAACAGTACCTAGTACCTACCAGGACTACTATTCTTTTAGCATTTCCCCAATGGTATCATTATCGCATACATTCTTTCTTTCAGCATTTCCTTAATAAAACCTTTTCAATTCAATGTACATTATGCACCAATTTGCTATTTGATAAGATTGGAGACCAATGAACATCAGCATTACCCAAATGCCTCTAAAGGGGACTTTACCCCCGGGTTAGAAATTGTTTTTTCTTTTTTTTGGTTGCAATACAAACAAATCTACTTTCTATAGACCCTTGAGGCTAAATGCAACGACTGAGTTCTATCTGACAATTAAAAAAGTGAGAGTATGCATTTTGATGAGTCATGTTCATTAAGTTCATTTCAAAATCCAAAACTATAGTGACCTTTTACTTAGTCAGAAATGGTCAACTCATAGGTAAGAGACTATCTCCCTCTAAACAAAGTCTCCAAATTCCAAACATGGGAATTTCTTCATAACTTGACTCTATTCACAATTATCATAGATGTTTATAGGTTTTGTGGCTGCTTAAACAATATCAATATGCAAATGCAAGTAAACATGATCAAGAGTAAAGCATATAGTAGTATTTCCCAATATTAAAAACTAGGGTATTAAGAGTTTAGATTTTGGGTCTGGGAGAGCACTAAGCCAAAAAAAAAAAAAAAAAAAAAAAAAAAAAACAACTAGTAGTATTCCCTGAAGGATAAAAGAAAGAAACATAAACAAGTCAGGAGTCTTTTTTTAAGTCTCCAATGGTATTTATACGGAAAAAACAGGAAAGAAAAATGAAAGAAACAAGAAAAGTAAACTAGAATTCTGATTCTTACAAAGTCTTTTTTATCTTTGCGACACCAAAGATCATGATTTCCAGGCACATAGAAAACATGCTTGAATTTATTTGTCAATATAGACATAGTCAAGGTGAACCTATCGTACGTCTCAGCCACATCACCCGCAACAAGAAGAATATCATCCTGGTGGCTTGATGAAGAAATGCACTTTACCCACGCCATGTTCTCTGCATAATCAGTATGCAAGTCTGAGACCACAAAGACCCGAATATCCTTCATTTCTCTATGCATTGAAGCATATATCCTAGAATTTCTAGTACCGACCCTATTAATTTTGCACCTGGAATTTTTCCATGTAAGCTCTCTTGATGAATTGCTTGCAAACTGACTAGAATGCAACACGCCTTTCAAAGATAACGAAGATCCTCCTATCATTTGGCAACTCCAAACTGTCGACATATCCAACTTCTAAGCTATTAGGAGAAGAAAAACAACACAAGTATAAATATCTTAAATCTTATACATTATGTTTATTCAACACAAACAAAAGGATTCTCAACTGTAAGTGGTGGCGAATCTAACATTTTATATAAGTGGGTTCAAATTAAGTCAAAATTAAATACAAATTACAAGAAACTAAGTATATATTAAATAACACATTATTGACCCATATAATTATAAGTATTAATAGACTAATTATAATTTTATATTACCTCCGTTACTTTTTTGTTGACACGTATTCCTTTTTAGAAAGTTTTTTTTTAGTTGACATGTTTCCTTTTGGGGTAAATTTTTTACCTTGTATTTACAACCTACCCCACTTGCTTTTTCATTCTCTCTCACTCTCTCTCCTTTCCTTAATACATGTGCCTAAATAAAACGCGTCAACTAAATAGAAACGGAGGAAGTATCATTTTTCTCATATTATATAAATTCTATGTTAAATAATTATATCTTTTCTTACAAAATAAGAGGAGATGATTGACCCCATTACATCGAACATCGATCCGCCCCTAACTGAAAGTCTCTAATCAATGAAATTCGGAAACATCATATGATAAGCAATGGCAAGCCGCAAGTATAATGTTACTTGGCATTTTCATTATGCTACATATTGCATCCTAAGACCATTCAGGGAGTGAATGACTACAATTAGAATGACTTTTACTTATACCTAAGCATTGGAACAATGAAACTTGAGGGAGTTGAAAATTTTAGTGTTCTCTTTACCTGGCCTATACAGTACTTCGTATTATCTTATTGAACAATATCATTAGGTCTTATCAGACATTAATACCTTATTGGCCTTATCTTATCTAAACTTATTGGCCTAATACATGACCAAATCCCTAAAGAGTAGTTGGATACCAAAGTAATCTATCCTATACTTCCTATTTTAGGAAGTCCCAAGTCCCAACATAAGCCAGTCTTCATGTTTAACAAGCTATATTATGGATTCCATCATATTATTTTTATGACTAAATTGGTAGGCGGTAATAAATGGTGGTAACATCATATTATTTTTACCCGACTAATTTAGTAGGCGGTAATAAATGGTGGTAACGGAAATGAATCCGTATAGAAGTCTTATGCTAATGCCCATGGTAATGCAGCCTATGCAGGGCATCATTACTTCTAACCAAATGAAAAATGCAAGATTGCAAGATAACAAGAATTAAGCATCATAAAAGGGATCAAAACTGATAAACAAACAGGGCAGAAATTCAAATTGATTAAATGGGCATATATAAACAAGAATTAAGCATCAAAAAATTGAACAAAATTACACAAACAATAAAGAAATGAAAAACATTGTAAATACTATGAAGGTATAAAAGATTGACCATGAAATTACATTAGAAGAACCAAGAAAGAAAAAATGTAAGAGATGAGAAAATACCCAGAAAGTTAAAAGGGAATAAACGAATTGTGGCGGTGCAAACTTCAATGGCGTCGGCAAAGTGCTGATTTTTGGAATGCAGGTGATGATTGAACTTGAACCCCAAATGAAAGTTTTGAGCGTTGATAACCATAAGCTTTCCCAAGGTTATACTTAGTAAATGACTAATGAGAGGTAAGGAGTTGAGCACATTTTAGGTATGTGTAATTTCAATTTGGATGCCTAGTCTTTGACGGGTATGAGATGGAAATAAGGATAAGGATAGCGAAACTCCGAAATAATAGGGTGGATAAGGATAAATAATGATTATTTCTTGTTTGAAAGATAGAAATAAGATTGAAAAAGTGACTAAATTAAATAACTAAAAATATTTAATGTTCAAATGATTTGACTTTTGCATAATTTTAGATATAGTTTAGAAGTTTGGTTGTTAACTTGCCATATATAAAAAGATTGATGTGTTTTTGTATTTTTTTCTCCATAAATCATCTATCATGGTAGTAGGCTATTAGCATTGTCCCCAATCTTGGTTATCAAGCTATGGAGGCATGAACTTTGGTGACAAATTGACTTCGATCAAAATTAAAAAAGATGAACGATTTTCATAGAATATGCTTCGAGATGTAGAATTTCTCTAATTACACCCCTAATAAATTTTTTTCTCAAACCTCAATCTACCACCTATGTCATTAGTACAATCGCGGCTTGTTTGGCAAAAATAGCGGTAGTGAGTAGCAGATTGTTGTTAAGGTAGCGAGTAGCGGTCAATTAGTAGCAGGTAGAGGTTAGCTGTCAAAGTAATGGTTGATACTATGAGTATTTGACAAAAATAGCGGTTGCAATACTAAAATATATCAAAATTTATATAAATATTGTTTAAAAAGTAATAAAAACCTGTCCAACGATACCCGCTACTTTCAAACGCTACTATTTTTAACGTTTGAGAAAAGCTACTTAAACGCTACCTCTACCACTAACCGCTACTAGAACCGTTACCTTGCCAAACACTCTCAAATTTTCTTCTGGTTGGTCAAAACGCTAACCGTTACCTCAAACGCTACCACCAAACAGAGCCTAGTCTAAACAAAACCGCTAACATTAGCGATTAAGAAAGGTAAATTGGCAAGTAAATTTACGATTTTTAGGTAAATGAATTACTACTTCAATCACCAACTTAAATATAGAAAACATGTCCACTTTCAATTGAATTAGCAATTCAATCTCGGATAATTAGGTAAAGTCACCGATTGAGTTAGTAGGGTGGACCAAGATAAAACCACAAATTCGATTTTTATTCGACATTACTATGGTTTTTAGTTCTTTTTTTTTTAAAAAAAAGTCATATGATATATTTCATAAAAAGAATAAAAATTTAGTCAAAATCACCATTATTTTGAAAAATATCAACAAATAAATTTTAAACCGGTTATTTTGAAAACTATCAACAATCGATTTTACGGTGTGCCGTGTGGTTTGATTTGAATTTTTTTTTTTGAAACCGCACCAAACTGCAAAACCACGAATCAATCAAATTTGAAAACCGCTTCGTAACTTTCAAACCGTACACCGCACCAAATCGCGATACTCTACACAAGCCCTGGTAGAGAATCCAAGTGGCAGGTGAAAATGAAGTGAACGTGGTACACTCCCCGAAACTCCTCCACTCTTCTCCCGCATCCTCTAAACTCGTCGTTGACACTCTTCTCTGCAAATCACCACTCTCTCTCCACCACCGCAACCATGTATCGCACGGCGGCGAATCGCCTCCTCTCCCACTCTCTCCGATCACTCACAACCACAATCAACATTCATCCTTCTTCTTCTTCAATTTTTACTTCTTCTCGTTTTTCTACTTCCTCTTCTAATCCCTCCTTTTCTTCCTCTAACCCTAACCCTAATCTTAATCCTCCTAATTTTAATTCTACTCAATCAGAAACCCCTAATTTCTCCGACCATTCTTCGTCCTCTCAAACGACGTCGTCTTCGTCTTCGTCATCTTCATCGGGAGAAGAACCTCGCTCTACTAGACGCCCTGTTGTGGAGTACGAAGAGGAGCAAGCTCGTGTTCTTCAAGCTTCTCTCCGTCACGTGGTATGCACGTGCCTCTTCCCCCAATTTCATTTTACCATTTTCGCATTTTAGGGATCATGTATTCTGGGTCTATCTAATTGCATTCATTTGATTCATGGGTTTTTCAAAATATTGCTTATAATGCAGTTTGAATTATTATAAATTTTAATCATAATGTTTCATTTTTTTTATTTTTTGGGGAAGAAAAATGTGGGTCTTAGTTTTCCTGTTATATACTGGTATTACAATTTGACAGGATTCAAGATGAAATTATATACTATAGTATAGTTGAAATGTTGAATTTTGTATTAGTTTTCGAATGGAATTGATGACTGATATGTAAGCCAGTGGAATGTTGAGGGGTTAATGTTATGATTGTGTATACCAGGAGAATTTGGGATGGACTGAGACGGCGATGTTGGCGGGCGCAAGGGAGATTGGACTCTCTCCCTCCATTGTTGGATCATTCCCTAGGAAAGAAGCTGCACTTGTTGAGGTGGTCCTTTTGATTTTTCTGATGTATGAATCATGCTGTTATTAAATGTTCTTGTGCATCTGATGAAAATTGGCAACATAACAAAGATGTGGCTAGTAAAAGTTATGGTCTCTCTTTTGTTGAACATAAGATTTGCTAATAATATTGGAATGACATAGGTATTTGGTTTATATACATGCTCACATGTTGCTCGTCTTATGCTTAGAAAAAAGAAAATGATTTGGCATGTATGAAGCTAAAATTTTTCACATTGCAAAGAATGATGATGTCTAAAAACAATGTTGGAATGCTTTGCCTTTATTGTTTCTTGCCTGACAGGCTGAGTTACCATCTTGTCGCAAGATCTGATCAATATTCAAAGATTGGATAGCATTGCTAGGGTATTGAGAGTTTCCTTGCTAAATGTATCAATCGGTTTTTTTTTTTTTTTTTTTTTTTTTTTTTTTTTTTTGTGTTTTTTCCACTTGTTAGGGGTAGTGGAATAAACGCAAATGTGTTACCACCTTTTAGTATGACAAAGATTGTCTTGTATCAGCGACTCATTATTAGTGAAACCTATTAAAAATTGCGTGTTTTCAGTTAGCTATGTAGTGTGTGTTTTTGTTTATCATATATCATACATGCCTATCCACTTAAAAAAATTCCCCCCCTTTGCCTTTGCAGTATTTCATGGATGAGTGTTTGGAAAGACTTATTGATATAATTGAGTCTGACACGGAGCTGAAAAACTTGATTCCCAGTCAACGCATATCAAAACTTGTGAGGATTCGTCTGGAAATGCAGGCTCCATATATATCAAAATGGGCCCAGGCTCTTAGTATTCAGGTATATTTTTTTCCTATCACTTGCTGACTTGAATAGTTGAATGTGCCATTTTCTTGTTATCATTTTTTATTCCAAGTCAATGAATTAGGATAGGCTTGCTATATCTAAGGTTTATGGATGACATTTACAACATGAACCACTATAACGGGGGAAGAAAAGGCAAGGCTCTTATAAGTATCTCTATTGTGATCTGACCAAAAAAGAAGAAGACTATTAAAAATTGTCTGGGAGAAATTTAATAAGCATTACTTAGACTAGCACCCATGACTCATTCCTAAAGAATGCATGTTACCTAATATTCCTATGTGAAAACATGGGCAAAGTTAGCTTCTATATTAGGCAGGCCGTAATATATTGTATGTTCTTTTATACTCCGTATTATTTTAAGTATTTGCAACTTTCTTGAGTTTGTGATAGTTGATCATAAGTTCTGTGTTTTGATTAATAGGCGCTACCAACAAATGTCCCTACAAGCTTTAAGCAACGTGCTGCTTTGATTGATGAGATTTGGCATGCTGCTGGTGATGATACCTCTGATTTTGATTGGTTTGTGAAGCGCACTGTGCTTGGTGGAATATACTCCACAACTGAGGTTTACATGTTGACCGATAAAACTCCAGGTTTGTTTAACTCTTCTGTGTGTGTAATTTGTTGTCTGGACGTTCTTCATAATTTTCTGTAATTTTATTTTTATTTTTTAAGGCTATCTCTATGCTAATGACTTGGTTTTGATATTCCTAGGAAGGTTTGACATATCTTTATATATATGTAGTAGTAGTTGCCATAACTTTCAATTTGCTGTATAGTAGAGCAGTACCTTGGAATACATTGCATGGCCTTATCTCTTTGGTAGGATTAGATCTTAAGGAGAGTAATTTCTTAAGTGTTACGCTTGGCATTACCAGAGAAATCTTACAGGACTAGAGTAGCTGGTAGTGAGGACAATTATTAGCTACCATAAAGCTGGTTGAATTATGGCACCTTAACTCTGCTCAGTGTTTGGCTTTGTATTTCTTTTCAACTATTACATCATTGTCAAATGCCTGATGATTGACTTAGATGCAAAAACACTGATTGCTGCACGGACTTGATCACCTGATTAAAACCTTTACTATGGATAGGAGGATGTTTCTTCTTGCTAGTTTGCCATGGGTCATCCACTGTTTTCTCTCTTAATTTTTTTTTTCCCCCTATTTTTGCCCCGCTATTTTAAAAGTCATTATTCATAGACACCAAGAATATATGCCTTTTGGGTCTTGCATGGCTGTCAATTCTTGTATTCGGATTTAGATGTATGCCTGCAATGAGGAAGGGCTGGCTGTAGAGAATAGTTTCTTTTGTATAGAGTGTAGTAGGGGAAATCAGTAATGGAGAAGGGAGGGACGAAGTACAGTTTGCTGTTGTGAATTCTTACTTGAGAATTGAGATTGAGGAAATATATTGTGGACTGTGGAGATATACTATAGGGTCTCTGCGGTTGCTAGAGGTCATTCCCAAATTAAAAGAGTGTAGAGTATGCCTTAATTTCAACTCCGATACCTTCTGACCCTAAGCACGCAATTTGTTCCAGATTTTCGTGACACATGGGCATTCCTGGATGCGAGAGTTAGAGATGCCTTTGATTTAAAGAAGACCCTTCAAGAGGTTTGCTGTTTTTTGTTCTTTTCCTTTGTTTTTGTTTTCTGGATTGAGTAGGAAACCTTATCACTAGTGTAATTATTCACAGGCTCAGTACTTAGCAGAAGCTGTAGGTGCAGGCTTGGGTGGCTCATTTCAGGGACTAGTGAAAGGAGTTTTCAAAAGATGATCCTCCTTCAACCTGAAGAATCACTCAATAACATGTAGTTGCATAATTAAATGGATATGCTCAAATTTGATGAGGCTCTTTGAAGCAACCTGTCCAACTTTTGCGTAGGATTTATGACCTTGCCTTGTGTTTCAGGCTACTTGTGCCTTTTGGTAGGTTAAAAGTTTTATCAAAATTGCTACATTGTTGGTCGTTTTGCTGCTTCTGCATGTTGGTGACCAGAAGTATGGTAGAGGATGAAATTAAGAGATAGGCTGCATTTTCGTTTCCATGTTATATCACATATTGAAATTGTTTTTTTTTTTTTTTTGTAAATGAATGGATGAGCTAATAATGCCCTCTGTGGTTGGAGTTGAAAAACTCTTGTTTATTACTCTGCCAGTTTGTGCAGTTTGATGTATGACATTTTTTGTTATTTATTTTTATTATGGAAGCAACATATTTACTTATTCTTGGGATATGTTTTTTTTTTGTGTGTGTAAATTGGTTGAGCTCATATGTGGCTAGGAAACTTTGTTAAAAAAAAAAAAAAAAAAAAAAAAAAAAAAAAAAAAAAAAAAAACCTTCTGGGAAGGGAGCCATTTTGATTGTAAAAACTGCAGTCGAATGGGGTACAAGAGTATTCCTCATGCTGAAGGCGACTCTTTGTAATTGAGGGTTTTAACCCTCATAGCTGAAGGCGACTCTTTGTAATTGAGGGTTATATCGTCTACAGTTAAGAAGTGCATTGAATCTTGAATAGTTTAAGATGTAAGCACTGGACTGAGATGGAAGTTTGTGGAACTCCAGCTCAACTAAGTAAACTGAATATGAAATAAAGGCAAGTAGGGGAAGTCTTGTTGCTTCCACAACTAAATACTAGTTTTCTGGATGAACTAGCAGCCTTTGCATTTGCAAAATGCACATAATCAACACATTAACCCATTATATGCACTGTTAAATAACACCTAACCATTACGCACTAACCACTACGCACTACGTACATGACTTTGTACGTAATCTGCCAATAGACACCGTAGACATAAGCTTGTAATATTTCACAATTCAATGTTTTCCTACAAAATACAAACATAAAATCTTTCTATTGTACCATAGTCTTCTTTCCCAAACACCCTAAATTACAGATCAATGAATTTAAAAAAATAATAATAATAATAATAAAAATCCTAGTCAAAGTATAAGAATTTTATCATGAAATGCTGTAGCTGTCAGCTCTCATATTCTATCATATCAAGCACCCAAAAACCTAAAATATAACTTTCTTCCTGTTACAAGGCTTGAATGGGATCTTGACAATTCCATGATAAGCTTGAAATACTGAGTTTTTCAGTGATTCAGAATAGTCTTTGATTTTTTGACATTACGAGATGCTGACAAATCAGCACTCCGTTGTACCTAATTACTGGCTTAACCATCACTTCATGGCTGAATATCCCCTTAAGCCTGTATCTCCTGTATCCTCTTTATCGCGTCCTCCATTGTAGGCCGTTTATTAGGATCAGTCTCGGTACAGCTGGCCCCCAATTGAAGGAGTTGTATCATAGCATCTAGTGAATTTGTAGAAGATGCTATTTCCGGATCTAAGAACCCTGCTTCTTTCTTCTCCTCAATGGCTGTTCGAACCCACTGGATGACATTGGTGCCTCCTTTGCCGGTATTGAGATATTGAGAAGGGAATTTCCCTGTAAGCATTTCAAGGATGACGATCCCAAGACAATATACATCTCCTTTGGAAGAGACTTGCTGGCTCTCAACTGATTCAGGTGACTTGTAAGCAAACAACCCTTGTGCTGCTTGTGTTGGTGTCACCATTCGGCTGAAACCATAGTCAGCGAGAAGTGGTTCGTAGTTGCTGCCTAGAAAGATGTTGCTAGACTTAAGGTTCCCGTGTGGAAGCTCATAGTCAGACAGTTCTGCATACAGGTATTGCACTCCGCTGGCTATGCCTTTTATGACCCTCAGTCGCATAGGCCAGTTCAGGTCTGCATGACTAAGCCCTCGATCCCCTGAAAAACCATGACCACAAAAATCAAAAATTCAGACTCATTTATTGTCCTGAGTGCATGTAGTATTCATTCAGTTTAATAAAACAAGTGTATGTCTTAGCTTCAAGTTTACAAATCATTGTTTATCTTTGAATGCAGGAAGTTCCTTTGTGCTAAAATTTCTACAAAGAATATTTGAACACAAGATGTCAAGAACACATGCTTAAGAGTGTGTTTTCCCTTCGTATATGGATACTTGATTAACAAGAGATTGTCTAATTGATGTAATTACTGTGCAGGAGGATTGCATCCCTATTGATATGTCAGAAATATGGAGTAGACGACATTAGTGGAAAACTTCTACGATACCACATACAGGAATAGCATAATTAAGCTTTGAAGGAGTAAGACATCATACCGTGCAAGACATACAACAAACTGCCTTTTGGAACGTACTCGGAGACCACAAGCTTCTCTTCTTTTCGAAAATGGTAAGCTAGGGGTGTCAAGATATTCTTATGACGAAGCTTCCCAATCCTCCTAATTGCAGCATCAAAGTCATCCTTCCCCAACTTATTCATATCTCTTATCCTCTTAACTACGACAGACACCCCATTAGACATGACAGCCTTGTAGGCCGATCCTAGAGCTCCATTCCCCAACACCTCAGCAGACGCCTTCATCAGATCAGCCAAGCCAAACGTACCCTTTTCATTATTGATCACAGTTAGATCACCAATCGCTGCATTTTTTCCTTGAGACCCTTTTCGATCACCCCCACTGCCCTTCTTTGAGGAATCACTAACACTAGATTTTCTTGAGCCACCACCAGATAGGACACTACCCCCACCAGAAGTAACGCTACTCCCAAAACCACCACTATTCATGCTTCGAGCACTCCCAGCACCAACACTCCTGGAGGTTCCTTGCACACGTACCTCCACCACATCTTCCGTTGGCTCCTTGTTATTATACACATCAAAAGCTTCATCATTGTTGTTCTGGGACTTCTTTATGGTTGTTACAATGAGAACTATAGTCATAATCACCACAATTCCCACCATTATCCCTATAGTAACCTTCACATTGTTGCCATTTTTTCGTACAACACTGCATTTCTTGCTTACCGGCTTCCCACAAACACCCGAATTGTCCTTAAACGCATCCGCCCCAAACCTTACCATACTCTCCGGAACTTGGCCTTCCAACATATTCCCAGACATATCCAACTCAGTCAATGTGTCTTGCGAAATCTCAGGTATCGAACCAGTAAACTTATTCCTTTCTAAATGAAGAGCCATTAACCCCTTCAATGTACCTAATGATTTAGGTATTTTACCAGAAAACTCATTGTCTGACAACCATAATCTCCTCAATGTTGTACCATCAAAAAAGTCGTCTGGAATTTCCCCTGAAAATTTGTTAGAACTTATATATAGTGACCTCAAACCTTTCAACGTATTGAAAGGTGGTATAGGACCAGAAAACGAGTTGTTCGAAAGACTTAGAGTCTTCAAGTTTGGAATTTGGGCAATAGAACTCACATCAACAGAACCCGAAAGGCTCATTTTTGTTAAATGCAAACGAATGATCACAGGTTGTTGTTTCTCACAGAAAACACCTTCCCATTTGTCCTTGCAGGGGTCTGTGTTGGGTTTCCAACTGTCCAAAAATTCGGTGTTTGACATCGAAATCTTGAACGCCAAGAGGGCTTCTGCCTCCGTGATCGACAACAAACACGGAGGCGATAATGAGAGGCAGAGGAGGAGGAGAAGAAATCGAACAGCAGACATTTAAGGTTTGCTGTTGTTTCTTTCTTTCTTTTTTCCTTTGCCTCTTTTTAGAGAATGAGATGAAGATAGAGAGATGAAATTATGGGAATTTTTCTCTGCTATGGAAGAAGGAAATCTCTTTATTTTTTTATTTTTTATTTTTTTTTTTTTTTTTGGGTGGTTGGGAGATGCTGATTAATGGTTGATCTTGGTTATGTTTATTGAAAATAGTGTAATTTTGATTTTTGCAATGTATCATAGTTTTTTCTATGATTCATGAATCTTGTTTGAAAAATATTGAGGTTGCTGCCATTAGAGCGTGATTTGCTAAGAATAGGTTCAAATAACAGAGAAAGAGAGAGAAGGATATTTGAGAATTGAGAGGGTGAAAATCAGATAGAATCCTACTATACACATAATGAGCAAATGAGCGGGAATTGAGGGATTTATTTGGTTTGATTATAGATATTAGATACACACTTTTATAGGACTATCCTTTTTTTGTACTACAAATTATTTGTTAGCAAATTTTAAGAGGAAATATAGGAATAGATATGGAGAATTTATCAGCCAATGTGTCTTCTCTAATCAATCCCAACTGGGAAGTAATACATGAAATCATATCAATATTGTTGCGAATATTAATTATGTAGCCTATTTATCCCCTAATGTGCTGTTTTGTAAATTTTCGTTGCCCTCAAGGGAGGTTTGCCTGGTTTGTAGGGAGGAAAGGGGAAAGCCTGATTGAATTTTTACTAGTATGAAACAATTTTTTGGAACTTCACAATTGTATTATCAATCATCCATTTCATTGCATTTTAACATAGCTTGTTAAAAACTTCAATCATTTGCAAGTAGTTACTATAAATAATATAAATACATTAATGTGACTATAATCAATTAGTACCAATAAAAATTACTACCCTTTATTTGTTAGTTTGTGCATATATTCTTTCATGATCATACAGTAAATCTTTATCTCTGCATTTTCTCGAAGCTGATAGCATGAATCAATGTGATGAGAAGGCCTACAACCAAATAATCAAATAAATGTTAGAATTATTGGGAAAAAATAATCATCACAATTTTATTTTATTTTTAAGTTGAAGAGAATAGAACTTAATAGCACGTAGGAACGAGAGTTCTAATAGGAGTATGATGTATTTACCGAAAAGATATTGTAATGACCGGGATCAGCAACGTGCTTGCTGAGGTTCTCAAGAGGCCCTTCACCGGTATAAACAGCTTGAAAACACAACCCAACAAAGGCCAACATAGCAAGCCTCCCGTTCTTGATCTCCTTAGTCCTTAGAACCATGACGGGCTCAGGGGACCCTCTTCCCCACATCAAGGGATCAAACCATAGTCCCCCTGGGTAACCCACATCGGGTTTTGGGTTCTTCTTGTGGGGAACCTTAGGCTCGATGTCAACACATCCAGGGTTCACATAGTCTGCCCATCTCCTACCCTCAACCCACCCCATTAAGGCTAGTTGTACCACAAATAGGGTGATTGGGTCTGCAAAATACTCGCGTGATCCAGCATCGTACCAATTGAAGTCTTCCATAAAGCCAATGGATTCGAGCCACTCCGGGATTAGGATGCCTGATACTGCTAGCATTGCCCATCTGCTGTGCATAAGCTCTGCTTGAGCAAACCATCTCAGTGTCTCTGGGTCTGACCCTGCATTTAGTAATTTGTTTTATTTTAGTTAACAAGTAAAATTTTACCATCATACATCAACAATACAAAATAATACATACCTAATCCGAGTGGGTCGAAGCCAAAATCACCGGGAAGACTACAAACAATAGGAGGTAAAGTTATGTACATAGTTAGCATTTTAATGATAAAAACTAAATTGAATTACATTTTTGGTGCATTAATTCAGTTAAGGGACATCTAATGATGTAATATTGGATTGATAATTTAGATTTTGGTTAATGATATATGCAGTCCTAAGGGCTAAGCATTTCCGCATTAATATTTATGATCACATGATAAAATCATGGGTTGATTGGTGTTATTAGTGTATAATTTATGCTTTAAGTTTCCTCCTTTATCTTTCTTTTACACAAATAACATATCATTTTTGTACAAACTTACCTTATAATATTAAATTAATGTGATGAGATGATGTTTAATATCGCATTGTTATTGTAAAGTCGTTTATGTTAATATCGTAGGAACTGGCTAAAACGACTTATATTTGAGATCGAGAGTTTCGAATAACCAACCTGCCATCTAACCATTGAGGTGGTGTGCTACCAGGGAACCACAAAGGCCTATCTGGAGGAAGTGGTTCACAAACACTTGAAACTCCTCCTTTAGCTGCATTCACCTTACTACTACTTCCAACCATACATTTCTTCACTTGATTCGGATATAATTTCCCTGGAATTTCTCTGTTCTTACAGAATTTCCAACAACCATTAATTAATTAATCAGAATTTGATGATAATTAAAAGAAAAATACAGGATAAAAACATTACTCAAAGTAGAATATATTATATTATAAAGTTTGAAGCATCTTATGTTTCATAATAATTAATTACAGTACCTAATTGGAAGGTTTGAGGACAGTGCAGTTGAAGCAACAGCCAAAGCCATTTTTTAATGGTGCAAAGATTATTCACATAAATGAACAGTTGATAGTTTATTGGAGGGAAGCTTGTCACAAGTAGCTTATCTGCAAACTTGGATTTTGTGATTATAAACTGTTATTCAGATTTTGACTTGTGGTTGGGCTATATGCCTATATCCTATAGCTTTGTTAAGCCCATTACTTGCAACTAAATTGTTTCATTGTTTCTCCAATGTTTCGAGTTCGAGCCTTGGGATGGCTCATTTGGGTCATTACTCGATTTGAATCTGGATTAGCTACGGTCTATTCAAATAATTTGAAATATATTACTCCTTTTATTTTTCTTTTATTGCACCATAAGGACTTTTACACAATTTACATAATCTTCTTTGACCATCTTTTGTGATTTATCCATTAGGAAAAACATAGTCATGTGGGATTTAGTTAAATTCGTCTCGAAATCTATTTTTAAATATCAATTTTTTTATGATTTTTACAAAAGTACAATTATAGATATTAATATCCGAAGTAAGGTATCGACAAGTGTGAAATCCCTCATGGTGCAAGAAAAAAAAATTGAGGAAGTATTATGTTGGGTAATTACCCAATTATCGAAATTGGATAATGAAAGCTATCTTAGTGATGAACCCACAACTAAATAAGCGTGTACAACTTAAGTTTAATTTTAACAAGCGTTTAAAATCAAAGCTAATATGTAAAGATAAGGAATTTTTTTGTAAGTATCCAAAACACTCCATTAATAGTTATAAGTAATATGAATAATCGGTTCAAAGTTGGACATACTAAGATGGAAATGTGATATGAAGTATTATGTATATAATTCTATGACAAACTAAAATAGAATTGTCAAATTGCCTATAATGATGCCATGATGGCTATAAATACTCTATGTCATCACTTTTAATGGTGAGGAAAACAATAACATATTGTGTCTTTTATGTTACATACTATGTACCTTAGGTTAATTATTCACTCATTACTTTTGTCCATGAATTGTAAGATAAAAGGGGAAACATGAAGAATAATACTCCAATGTATATGAGATTCTATCCCATGTTTTTAGTAGCAACCTAAACTAATGTAGCTAGTATGTACAAATTTCAAGAAAAAACTTCAAGAAAACCAAAATGAAGTTTACATGAGGTTTTGCCTAGTACAATAATGTGTTGTTTTGCATATTGTGAAGTAATGTGAACAATGGCATAAAAAAATGCTTCTATTGGTTGTATAATACAAAACACTACCTCTCTACTTCTATCCCTATTTTTTCCCGATTAACTTCATTCAATTGGTAAGAGTTTCAACACATACATAATTATCATAAAACTATTAAATTAGAGTACACCACTTAAACTTAAGGAAATGAAAACTTCATACATGATTATCATCATAAAATAATTGAGTTAGAGAGCTCCACTTCTTTAATTGAATTGAGGTAAGTAATGATGGAACAACATATGCCATGCTAATCATAAAGTACAACTTACAATCATTAATAAAATCTCAAATCTTACAAAATTAGGCAAATACCAACCTTATTCAACCAAACCTTGAATTAAATTTCAATAGAAAGAAACGAACCTCCTAACTTTGTCAGTGTATTCTACTTGACTACTTCCAATCACTGTTCCTTTCCAATTACTCCAACAATTTCCTTAACTTCTCACCTGATTTTGATCTCTGACATCTCTCCTTCCCAAATCCAACCTCTTCAATGGCAATTTCATCTTTCCCTTCAATTTCCCACTAAAACACCTCAAAAAAACCCTTAAAAATCGCATCTTCTTTACTGGGGTTTGTCAAAAAACCATGTTTCATCAACAAAGAGCAGAATTAAGAAGATGGGTAGTTTCAATTTTGTCCAATCACAAAACCCTTTTCACAGTTTTATGGATCGTGGGATTTGCATCGGTTTTTATATGGCAGCGCAACATTGTTGATAATTTGTTGTCATTCCGGCGAGCTCCGGGACGCCCAATGCCGAGATTAAGGCCGTTTTCTTTCAACATTTCGGATTTCGGGGCGGTCGGAGATGGTGGTACTGATAATACTGCGGCGTTTGAGAGGGCTATTTCAACCATTGCTAAGCTTGGGAAGAAAGGTGGAGGTCAGCTTAATGTGCCACCTGGGGTTTGGCTTACTTGCCCTTTTAATTTAACCAGTCATATGACTTTGTACCTTGCTGAAGATGCTGTTATTCTTGGAGTTGATGTGAGTTTTTTTTTTTTAATCTTTGATTTCAATTTGTGTTTTGTTATGATTTTGATGTTGTTGTTATTGTATATGGTAGGAAGATGATTTTTTTTTATAGAGATATGAGTAGTTATATGAATTTGTTTTATACTTTGTTTATAGTAAGTTGTGATTGTTGCTTTGAGTGTTTGATTAGTTGATTCAAGGTCTGGTATTGGCAGAGAGAATGTTAGGTTAATCTTATTTTTCGTGTAGGCGAATTTGGTTGTGTGATTAGTAGGAGAGAAGAATAAGGTTTGTTGTTTATGATGAATGTTTGTTGGCTAATTCCTCCTTTAGAATGTGCTATATGGCCTGTATCAACTGTTTGAATGGCTAAATGCTGGAACTTTGAGGTGATATACTGCCAGAGTGCTAAAATGTGAATCTGATCCATCTTGTTTGAAAGGGGAAAGGGAGATCATTGAAAGGAACTTCAAATTTTGCTTTGATTTGTTTAGAGTGAGTTACCTCCTTATGTGCTCCAATGTGATGGTGTTGGGCATTTATAACAGAACTTAGGAGGGGAAGGGAGGTTATGCCGCTTGGATATTGAATGTAGTTGAGCGGACTAACGCAGTGATTTGATTGAGCAACTGTCCAAAGTCATGGAGATTTGGTATTTAATGATTACCTATATGAGCCTGCTGAAGATTGTGAGAGTTAGAATGAGCATGAAGCGAAATTGGAAGATACATTTACAATACACTAATCTAGAAGTGTGGATTACTTTTTTCAAGCATGTTTTATGTTGATAATAATGTATTTTAAGCTGCACTGCATGAGCAACCATCACTCTGTGAAAGTGGTTGCCAAAGAGATATTTGCATTATAAAAGATGTTAATGAAACTACCTCTTGCGCCATTTTACATTGTAAATGTTTACATGGTTATGAGAAAGGGAGAAAACAGAGGTCATTTAGATGTTTTCTTGAGTTCTCATCTCACAAACCATCATGTGTGCTTTAGTTATGCACAGTTTTCTATTGAGGCTCTTTGCCGTGAGGCACACTGATTTATGCTCAAGAGAAGTGAAAATCCACAAGTCCAATTGCGTAACAGTTCAACTTTTATTTGGACATATTCCATTAGGCTTTTACATTCAATAGAAATTTAAGTTTCAGATGCTGGATCAAAGGATATGTCTATGTTTATAAGATTCACTACCATGGGCCTAAAGTTAAATGCCACAATCTATTTACTGTGAAAGGATAAATGTCTACTACTGTTAGTGACTGCTATTAGTAACTCTTAAAGGTACAATCTTGTCAAATTGCTAGTAGCTGTAATTGTTGTGATGAAGGGAAATGACCATTCCTTATTTTGAATTCCTAATTATTGTAATTTTTATGATTAAATCCTTGCTTGAAGGAGTCATACTGGGTTGTCTGTTGCTATATGCTGAATGATAAATTTCAGGTATTGTTTAGCTGTGGTTCCTGAGAAAGAAGGACACTTAATTTTCTGCTACTAGAACAAAATACTGACTTCTTACTTTGTGATATATATTTTTTCTATTTCAGAAAGCAATAGACACTTTTTTTTTTTTAAGTGACACGCTTCCTCTTTTTGGATATTTCCTACCATAATCTTTTTTCTTTAGTCACCATCACTATATTTTAAATTATTCCTTTCTTCCCATGGTCCTCACTCCTACATTATTTTAAATATCTCTCCTCTCACATCGTTTTTTCTTTATATTAACTATTAAACCATCATCACTTTCTCATAATATATAATCCTCCAGCACCGCTACCATAATAATTCAAGGGGCTTATGTAATTCTCCTTAAAGTTCGTGTGGAATCTAGTGTGTCGCTTAAAAAAAAAATAGAGGGTGTATTAAAGAAAATTGAAGATTAAATGATTGAGTTGGGAGAAGGGTGGATCTAGTGATGTTTGATTTTTATACTTCCTCATTTCTCAATACATGAAACAAGTTGACTTTGAATGAGTGTCAAAATTTCACATTTACTCTCCTTGCAAGGATAGAATGTCAACGAGTCAATCTAGTAGTTGAGAGAGTGAGCTTTGGTGAAACAAGAATAAGGTGTCAGGAATTTTCCTGAAAGTGTCATGGACTCATGGTGGACTATAAACCATATCTTTTTTAAGTTTTTCTTTCTTTCATGGCGCTCGTTGAGTTGAATGTCACTGAGTGCTGTTGTTTTGGTTGTTTATTGCCTGTAAAGCTGTTTCTTACCATGAAATTCCCATTTGGGTGTATAGGATGAGAAGAAATGGCCATTGATGCCACCATTGCCATCATATGGATATGGGAGAGAGCATCCTGGGCCCCGATATGGTAGCTTGATTCATGGTCAAAATCTCAGAGATGTCGTCATAACTGGTAAGTTTGCTTAGTATATTAGCGATTCTAATTTTGCTGAGTAATTGAACTTGAAAAGAAGAGTTTTGTTTCCTTGTGAGTTACAATAATAATGAAAAATGTTACTATTATTTCTCCCATTAGCTGTCTATATTGGATTGGGAGTTTATCTGTGGTGGCATTTTGACATCTCAGCCTAATGGCTGCTGTGCGTGCATGTATGACTGTATGAGTGTGGACATGGCATAGAGCCTTGTGTAAAAGGTTGGTGGATCAAGAAGTCTAACAGAAAAATATGTGTATGTCAAAAATGATACATTAATTATAGAAATCAGCCTGTCAAAATAAATAAATTAATTAATTAAAAAAGAAATCAGAGTATGGCGTTTTTTTTAGAAAGGCTCTTAGTATAAAGAAGAATTGTAATCTTACTAAGTTATGGCTTTAAAATCTACAGTTTTCTTAATGGATGACTTGCTTAAGGTTATATTCTTTGTAATCCTAATATATTTTTAGGGCCTGTTCTCTTTAGCTTAATTTCAGTTCAGCTT